GCTAAACTGGTCAAGCTGATCGCCCGATAGCACCCGCAGTCAAAATGTGAACCTTTACCTTTATATAAAGGCACAATGACTGCGGATCGCCAATCATCCGGGACATCCCCCGTCCGCCAGCACAAATTGCACAGCAGATGAAAGCTGTCCCAGACGCGAGGCCCACCATACTTGACCATTTCAGCAGTAACTCTGTCTAGTCCCGCAGCCTTACCACATTTCAAACTTCGAATCGCACGTTCAATCTCTTTCATACTGATGACCTCAGTGTCATCGAGGTCCGGGTCTGGCGTGCCAGTCACGGCGTCATCCCCGGATCCCTCACTAAGATCATCACACGCATACATTTCTCTATAAAATTCGCTCCATCGCTGCATGACGTCCGATTTTTCTGAGAGGACGTCATTAGTTCTCGAAAGCACTTTGTTCATTCTTAAGGCCGTCGCACCACTTCGGGTCCTTCCAACCTCTTTCCAGAAGAGTTTGGAGTTCTCTTTAAAGTTGTGCGACAACCTTTCATCCGCTTCCATTCTACACCTTTCACGCACTTCCTCAATCAATGCTTTCGTGTGAACTTTCTGCAGCTTATATCTTTCTTTCATCTTCTCTCTCATATCCTTATCATTACTAGAGGCCAAGTAGTCTAACCATGCTTTCTTCTTCTTCTTTACAGCTTCTTTCACTTCATCATTCCACCATGCATCTCTTCTTTTACTACTGCCTCTTTTTATTGTTCCACACACTTCTTCCGCTGCACTTACCATTCCATCCCTAAGGTTCTGCCATGTTCTTTCTACACATTCGTTTCTGCCATCGATGGTGTCAAGCTTTTCGGCTACCCTCGCATGATATTTGTCCCTAGTATCCGCTTCCTGAAGCTTCCAGCTTCGGATGCGACAGACCGACTCTGGTTCTGTCACTGTCGTCCGGTAGCGCCAACCCGCGAACAGACCCCTAAATCTAGTAATCACTAGATAGTGATCCGTTCCCAGGTCAGCACCCCTGAACACTCGCGTATCCATAACCTGTTTTCGCAGTCGGTCATCCACCAGGAACAAATCGATCATACTTCTCTCATTCTTTCTTTCTCTAGTATACATATGGATGTTCTTGTGATTAAACATAGTGTTTGTCACAAGAAGACCCTTTTCCTTGCATACCGCCAGTATAAGCTTGCCAGCATCATTAACCCTTTTATCGCCAAACTTTCCAAGTACCGACTCGTACCCTGGTCGAGCGGTACCCACCCATCCATTCAAATCACCACATACAACAATCCTTTCGTTTCCCCTAGCCAAATCTAGAACTTCTCTTACATTCTCCCAAAACTCCTCCAGCTCAGCCCTGGACAACGAAGCCACCGGCGCATAAACAGCCAAAAGGAATAACTTCGTCAGTCCCAATTTAAAGCGAACCCAGAGAAGTCTTGAGTTCACAAACTTATATTCAGTCATAACATCGACCAACCGAGAAGACAGCAGCACCCCCACTCCCTGGCAGGCGTTCTCGCTCTCCGGGACTCCGGACCATAGAGCTAACGCCCCGCCAGGGAGCTCTTCAGTACCACTGCCCTTCCGTTTGGTCTCCGACATACACACGACATCTAATTCTCTTTCTTTCATTATTTCGATCAACTCATTCGTCTTATCTCTCATGCCTCCTCTAACATTCCACGTGCCAACTCTGCACTCCGTCCTCCACCTTCCGCCGTGTCGGGCTGTGCGTGACGGGTGGCGGTCCCCATCGCCGCTTTGCGCGCTGCATTCCACACCAACGGGGACGAGCTGGTGTGCGTCGCCTTGGGGGGACGCCCTAACCCTCGTTGACATGGGTGCGCAGCTGAGTAGAATTGCAGCCCTGAAAAGGGCTGGCAGGGGTCGCGACGAGCACGCTTCTACAATGACCCCCATATATATTAGTTTTTTAAAAGTTTATACTCAGTTATAAATATTTTTATGACTAGAAATACTTAATTTAGTTAATATCTGTACACTGGTAACGGTAAATATTATTTTCTAAATAAATGAAATTGATATTCCTAATTTACTAAAGATTACAGAAGTTTCGATTTCATTCCATCTAGTGTAGATTGCTTGGAAATTGTGTAAAAATAAATCATAAATATTAATAAAATAACATATCGTTTACGCTCAAACATATCAAGAATTAAAAAATTAAAATTTTTGTCATTTCCAACGCTGCATATTTATCAAGATGTAACATTTATAAAAACATGTACATATAATCACGCCTCTTTCCCGTAGGGTTAGGCAGAGACCACTTCTTTCCACTTGCTACGATCCTTACATACTTGTTTTGCTTCGTCCACTTTCATTATTCCCTTCATACATGCTCTACGGTTTAGGGTACTCTTGACCTGGCCTTACAAAAACGAATTCTGAAATATTTAATGATTATTTAATAATTGACAATAAAATTATACAATTTCATCAGACAGCTTTACTTAGACAAAGCGTTTTCGGCACACTGTTTAAAATCAACAATAAAGTTCCATCTATGTTTCATGAAATGGAGGATATTTATAAATTTAAAAATAAAACATATCTAACTAAGAAATGATAGGCATATAACAATGACATATATCTTTTTCAAAGATGTTACCTCTACTATTTTACTTGTATTCACAAGAATTGAATTTGAATCAATCTTGATAAAATTATTTCTTGTAAATGTTACTTATTTTAACAAGTGATTCTATTTATTTCATTAAGGTAATCTTGTTCACTAGTGTGTATTGACGAATTTTTAAATTACCAATCATATTTTCATACTTTAAGCCCGGTACACATGCAGCGACTTTAATCGACGGTGACTCGCTAGCGACTTATGACTTTTGTGTCTATATTATAGCGATTTATCAGTATTCGTTTCGCAGTAGAAGGCAGTAGACGCAAAGAGTATAATAATATATAGGGGAAAGTAGATGTGTATACCGGTGTCTGTTATTCACCTTTTTTATTTGTGAACGTTTCTTTGTAATGTCCGAAGAAAGGCGTCGAATGTTACTAGCGCTAGCAGCCGTTTGCATATATGACAAAGAGAGAGAAAAGAAAAATAGAAGATGTTGGGCGAAAAAATGGTTACTTCAAAGACCAAGATATTCGCATATAAATTTAATGGCCGAGCTAGCACTACAAGAACCGAACGATTTTAGAAACTATTTACGACTGGACTCTTGTACATATCAACAGTTGTTGTCTCTGTTGGAGCCAATGCTAACAAAACAAGATACGTGCATGAGAAAAGCGATAACAGCTCACGAACGATTATCAGCTACATTGCGATTTCTAGCAACCGGACGATCTTATGAGGATTTACAATACAGCGTTGCAATATCTAAGCAATCTCTAAGCAAGATAATTCCAGAAACATGTGATGCGATCATAGCTACATTGCAAGAAGAATATTTAAAGGTAGGTTTAAAGGTGCTTTTTAGTAAAACTAAACTTTTCTGTGACGTATTTACTATGTGCTAACAGTTATACATTATGGTTGAAAATTATTAAAATACATCGTAAGCTTTTGAGATGTTTTAGAATTGAGCAATCGGGTTTCTGCAATTTCTAGTGACTGATTGTTCGTCTCCTGAGGAACATGAATTAATTGACCACTCACAGGATCTATCAAAAGGCTTTGTGAAAAAGTATCATCAGTAGTAGCATTTGAATTATGAGCACTTTGAACATTTTCATTTTTAGAAAGCAATTGTATATTAACATTATGATTTACATCAATACGACTTTGACGAGAGAGGGAATTCATTCGTGCTTCAAACAAAACGTCGTTAATTAATTTCTCCGCAAAAATTTGTTGATCATTTGGTAAACTATTTAAAATACCAGCCCATGATTTTGCTGTATGTTCCCAGCGGTCTGTCGGAATAGGTTCGCTGAGATGAGCATTTATTTTACTAAGAATATCTTCTCTTGGTCTCTTCTTTTTTTTTATTACTATCACGAGATGCCGTAGTAGACACTGTTGAGGGTGCTGGTGATTGCGTTGACTCCGAAAATATATCAGAATCTACATCTTCATTTCTATTTATTCCTAATTCCTCATCGATAGGTCCCTGAAATAAAATATAAATATAAGTACCTATTTTTGTTCTAGTTTCCTGAAACTGAAGAAGAATGGTTAGACATAGCAAAAACATTTGAAGAAAGGTGGCAGTTTCCTCATTGCTTAGGAGCTATAGACGGGAAACATGTAAAAATTGTGCCCCCAGCAAATAGTGGATCATACTACTTTAACTATAAAAAGGATTTCAGCGTTGTTTTATTAGCAATAGCAAATGCAAATTACGAATTTATAATGGTAGATATAGGAATTAATGGCCGAATATCTGATGGTGGAGTTATTAATAGAAGTATATTTTATGAGAAACTAAACACAGGATCCTTAAATATTCCTAGGGTAGCAAGGATAATGAATAGTGAAACTGTTTTGCCATACGTCTTCGTGGGGGATGATGCATTTTCTTTACGCCCAGATTTGATGAAACCTTACCCAGGTCCATACTTAAGTCCTCAACAAAGAATATTCAATTATAGACTATCAAGAGCCCGTCGCATTATTGAAAATATTTTTGGTATTTTAGTCAATCGATTCCGAATATTCAGAACTTCAATCAAAACCATTGACAAAATAGTAATGGCAGCATGTATATTGCATAACTTTTTACGTCGAAATTGTAATCAATATATCCGAGTGGGTGTGGATATTGAAAATTTAGAAGATGGCAACATAAGCACAGGTTACAGAGCCAACAACGAATTGTTAGGTTTACAAATAACGAATCAAGGTCAAAGTCAAACCATGGCTAGATATGTTCGAGATCAATATATGCAATATTTCAATAATGAGGGTAGTGTTTTGTGGCAAAACCGTTTCACTAATTTAAATACCTTTACATAATGTTATTTGATAACAATATGAATAAACAAATATAGTATACGAGTCCTAAAGCATAAATTGTATTTTTATTTTACCCGATCTTTGTTTCCTATTTTAATGTTAGTTATTGAACTTCTAGTCGTCTCTTGATCTTTCAAGAAGTTGAGTAAATCATAATACCATAATGATGGAGTAGGAATATCTTCCACAGCCATTCCGGATTTCAAGCTTTTTTCAATCTTTTCGTGTTGTTTTCGCCAAACATCCCTCATATCTTTAATTTTTTTTATCACAAAATCTCGATCAGCGTTTGGCTCCACCTCCTTAAATTTTCCCACTAATATCTCATAGCTTTGTGACTTTAAATCTCTGTTTGAGTAATCTTTACTCTTAACCATCCATAATGAAGGTAATTCCTGGTATAATTCTATAAATTCAGTTACAAAAGCCCGAGAATATTTACGTAGGTCCGCCATTTTAAAATCGCTCACGCACGGCGTACACGTCCACACAGCAACGATGTCGCTGGCGACTGTCGACTTTTCAGATTTACAGCGATTCGATCGCCGCATTGACAGCGACTATAAATCGCTGCTAATATTCACGTCCACACACAGATTTTGACATCGCCAGCGAGTCGCTATCGATTAGAGTCGCTGCCGTGTGGACCCTTCTTTATAGCATCTTTATAATCGAAGTTACCAGTAATAATCTTAATAATATATCTTAGGGAGTTTAGAATGCCTTGTTTGACTCTAAATGAAGGTGATAACTGTTCAAATTGTTCAATACTGGAATTTGTTTCGAATTCAGTTTGAAATATTATATTAAGTAATTGAATGTTTAGAGATTTTTTTGTCAAAATAATTCTAACATGCTTATTTAAGTATTTAAGTTCATGTATCTATTAATATTAAATTCTAACTGCTCATGCGAAACATTTAAATCTGAAACCTTAATTATAATCCACTTTTCATCACTTACACTGAGATGGCCATCTCTAAGTAACACACCAATATTAATATTATAAGGCCATAGGAATTGTTTTCTGCTCCATGTAATTCTAAATTTGATGTTGTGGTTAAATCTAATTAAAATTATTTGCAAAACGAATGGATATCTAAAACCTTGTGAATTATTATGCATGGATTATGAAGTTGGTTAACTATAATTTATTTAAATTTTTTTTAAGTAGGTATTGAAACCACTAAGAATATTTTCTAATTCAGTTTCAATTTGATCTAGAATCACCAGAATCTTTCACTTAAAAAGAGATGCATCTTTTCCTATAATGTAATTGTTATATATAATATTATTTAGTTTGTATGTATAATCTTGTTGATGCCTAAAAATCTTATAATATATTGTTGCGCGCCAATATTAATGTCTTGTACATGGCAACACTAGTTACACTAGCGCTCTCTAGTGTCGAGTAAAAGAAAGTGTTGCGCGCCACTATTAATGTCTTGTACATGGCAACACTAGTTACACTAGCGCCCTCTAGTGTCGAGTAGCAGAACTAGGAGAGTCGAGATCCTTCCAGAAATTTCGGGACCGATATGTACTCGTACATTCTAGATGTCGCTACAGTAGAAGGTTCTGGAAACTATCTGAGGCCCTATATAAGGCCGGTATAGACCACGACCGGGGCAGTATTGAATTGGCGATACAAGAGAATACTTCGAAGCGAAATAACGGCGAACTGTGTTTTATTATTAGTGTGATTTTAGATTGTAATTAGTGTTGTGTAATTAAAGTGTCAATTTTGGTAATTCAATCGGCAGTTTTTAATTGTCTCGAACGTAACAATATTAAATAAACTTGAAATACTTTGATCGCCATCAAACATGCTGATCAAGCTTTTTTAGATCCTTAGGTCTAATTTGAAGAAAGTGACATACTTTTTCTCTTCTCTGTTCCATTTTTATTTAAAAATCAATACATGTATACAAAAATATTCTGTTAATTATTCTCTTTCTATAATTTTAGCACTTCTTAACCCTTTTGTTGTCCCGTGCACTACATATAGGGCACTGCTATTGTCTTACTATTGTGTCTGCCAACCGGACAGTGAAAGTTTTAAGATTATAATTAAGTACATTATTTTTATTTAATCCATTTTATTTTTCTTTGTAATAATATTTACCTAATAAATAACTGCCAAGTTTTGTGAAGAAATCAAAGAAATTTCAACGATTTTAGTTCAAAAGTTACAACATAGAGCCATAAAGAAATAACCACAGGAAATAACTACAATGAGACAGGATAGTAAAACGCTTTATTTACAGTCCGCTTAACTTACAGTAGGTGGAATGGTGGTAGTATCTTACCGCCAAAATTATATGAATGTCATATTATAGCATTCAATTTCAATGAATGTGTTATGATTCCTAATTAAACAATATTACATTGGTCAATAAGTCCCCAGCCTGACGTATAGATGGCACTATTAGGGGAAAATTATTTTTATTTTTAAAAAGCACAGACTTCTATATAATCTGTGCAAAATTTTTAATTCTTTTTGAAGAAAAATACCGTTGAAGCAAAAAGTTGGCTTGACAAGTGTTATGGGGACTGCTCCATCAAAAGCAAAAGGTAAACGTTGGTTTACTGAATTTATGTGCTGACGAACAGACACAAATGATGCTTAACGCTCTGGACATACAAATGAGGCTGTTATTTCAGAAAACTAAAAAAATGCTCACAAATAAAATTTGGGAAGACCGTAAAATGAAATTGCAAGAGATAGCCGACGACCTAAAGACATTGAAAGGTAGTGCATTCACCATTTTGCATAAACATTTGTCTATGAGAAAGCTTTGTTGCAAGTGGGTATCGCGTTTGCTCACCGTTGACCAAAAGCATCAACGTGTTGAAGCGTCAGAGCGCTTTTTAGAGTTGTTTAGGCGGAGATAAGGATTTTTTCATGCGGTATGTCACAATGGATAAAACTTGGATCCACCACTACACTCCAGAATCAAAATAGCGGTCAAATGAGTGGACAGCAACCCATGAAAGCCGCTCAAAGCAACCAAAAACTTAAATTTCAGCTGGAAATGTTATGACATCCCTGTTTTGGGATGTGCATGATATAATATTTATAGACTATCTACAGAAGGGCGGAAAGATCAATAGCGATTATAATATGTCGTTATTAGTGCGTTTGAAGCAGGAGACCGCGAAAAAACGGCCTCAAATGCAAAAAGATAAAGTTCATTTTCATCAGGACAATGCACCATGTCACAAGTCTTTTGTCACTATAGCGAAACTTACAGAGTTAAAGTTTGAGTTGCTCACCCACCGTATTCGCCAGATTTAGCTCTATTATTTGTTCGCTAATCTAAAAAAAAAAAATGTTATCCGGAAAGAAATTTGCCTCAAATGAAGAATTGATAGCCGAAACTGAAGCGTATTTTGAAGGGTTGGACAAATTGTATTATAAAAAAGGGCATAGAAATGTTAGAGCGGCGCTGGACTGAGTGTATCGCTCTTGAAGAAGACTATATTGATGAATAAAATTGAATTTTGAATAAAAATTATGTTTTTTTTACTTAGGCTCGGGACTTGACCGATGTATTATAACCCTTCTAAATTTAAAACGATACTTCCACAAATATTTTTTCTAACGGCAGTAATGCGCTGATTACGAGCTAATAATATACAATAATAATAATATTTATCTGCAAGTATAATAGAGAATATAGACCAAGAACACAGGACCCATGTGAGTAACATTGATGTGCATACATTTCTAAAATTAGTGTGGGCTTGGTTGAACTGCGCATAGAGAAATTAATACATTTGGGTTTGTC